CCACTCTCTCAACCTTTCCTTCAATAAAATAACCAACAGAAAATCCAAATGAACAAGTTCCTCTACAATCAGCCAAAAATAATACTGAAGAAAACCTTCACTTTTCCTAAATGTAAAGTTGATTCTTGTTAATTCTGAAGTAACCTAACACTTTTATGGTTGTCATGTGGTTTCATGATGATGAAATGGAAGACTTATGATGCTGTTGTTGGAGACGTCACCATACTAGCAGAAAGATTGCAATATGTAGATTTTACTGTGCCATATGCAGAATCAGGATTGTCAATGATAGTTACAGAAAAGTCCAAAGAATCAACATGGATGTTTATGAAGCCTTTCACCTGGCAAATGTGGGTGGCAACTGGTGCCATGTTGATTTACACAATGTTAGTAGTGTGGTACCTGGAGCGGGAACCCAATCCAGAGTTTCATGGCAATTGGAGAAGTCAGATCAGCACTGCTCTTATGTTTACGTTCTCCTCTCTATTCTTTGCTCATAGTGAGTATCAGCCTCATACTTCATTTAACAACAATGATCAACTTTTATTATGGAAAAAAAAAAGTGTTAGAGCAAAGAAATCCTGATTTGTATTAAACTGAAATTGATGCAATGGTTTCATGTTGTAGGGGAGAAAATCTACAGCGACTTATCTCGTGTGGTGATGGTATCATGGCTATTTCTAGTGTTGATTCTTAACTCAAGCTACACTGCCAGTCTTTCTTCCATGCTCACAGTTCAACGACTGCGACCAAATGTAACAGACATGGAGTACCTGAAGAAGCACAACATGAAAATTGGTTGTGATGGAGATTCATTTGTTAGGACATACTTAGAGAAAGTCAAAGAATTCAAGCCAGAAAACATCATAAACATTAGTGGTGAAGATCATTATGCATGTGCATTCAAAAACAACTCAATAGCAGCGGCTTTTCTCGAACTCCCTTATGAAAAAGTTTATATCAGTGAACACTGCACAGGGTACTCTGCCTCTGTACCTACCGTCAAATTTGGAGGACTTGGATTTGTAAGTAACAGTTGAATTCTTCTAAAAACTAGGGTCATGTGTTAACTAGTTACTATAAGGCAATCCGTTTTCGCTAATTTGCTATCAATCTCTTGATGCAGATGTTCCAGAAAGGCTCTCCAGTGGCTAGAGATGTTTCTAAAGCTATACTGCAGCTCTTAGAGCTGGGAGAATTGAAGAAGTTAGAAGACAAATGGTTGAACCATCCAGGTGCGTGCTCCAACAAATCCACCTCCGAAAGTACAGAAAGTTTGAGGCTTGGAAGCTTCTGGGTTCTGTACGTGATTTCTGGTGCCACTTCTACTATTTGTTTCCTACTTTATACTATCCAGCTGAAATATAGTCAAACATCCCAAGATGAGGTACAAGAACAACGTAATGACAACTCAGGTGCTCAAAGCCCATGGAAAAAGGTAGTGATAATTGTTAAGCAGATTTACAGCAGAAAGTATGCACCACAGACAACCATACAAAATCAGGCAATGGCTCCATAATTGCCACATATCATAACGGTGTCTCCACCAGCAACGGTTAGCTGTTGATCATCTAGCACAACCAATAACCATATTTTTCATCCAACATCTAGGGAAGTAACATAGGAAGGAAGCACATATTAACCTGCTTCCGTACCTTGATAACTTTATCAAGGATTCTAATAATAACAAAACCGTTACTGAACTTCAGAATAACAGTTATATGAACCTTGTAAATTGCTTATTGTAATGGGTAGGGAGTGAATGCATTAAGATTGATATCATCAAAGAACTTAACCATTTGATTTCATATTATTTGAAAAAGGTAACGTCTCCACTAGGGGATACTATCTTCGTATAAATGCACTCGTCATTAAATTACATGCATACATACCAACAAACTTAAGTTCCATCAGCAAGTCCTCATCTGCTGGTTGCAACCAATGCATTGCAAATGATCAATAACTCAGCATTCTACATAAACAAGTTCTATAGGAAGTACAACGAAAAATAAAATTTCATAGTTCTCAGTAACCAAAAACATCCTCTAACAAAGAATTTTAGTACATTATCGGTTTGTATTCTCTTGAAATATGTTTTTTACATCACATCTGCAACAAAATAAATGAGTAGATCAATTTCAATTATTTATGTTGTCCCAACTCCTAATCCAAATAAAACTTTGTACCAAAAATTGTCAATTAGGCTAAAGGTCATTAAAAGAGACAATGAAACAAGTAACTCTCAAGAGGAAAAAAGAACAAGTGTGATTGGATTGAAAAAGCTTCATAAAAGGTCCTTTAATGATGAAAATTGTTCTTGCAACTTTTTCAGAAACGACTTTTTCTACATCTGGAAAATGCACCAAGATGGTCTTTTAGGTTTTAGTTTAGCTATCAAGAAAAAGTTATCTAATTATTACAAATATTTTAGTTCTTGCAACTTTTTCAGAAACGACTTTTTCTACATCTGGAAAATGCACCAAGATGGTCTTTTAGGTTTTAGTTTAGCTATCAAGAAAAAGTTATCTAATTATTACAAATATTTTAAACACTTCTATTAGAAAGTACTTTCATTTCATTAAAAAAATCCGAAACAAACAAGCTCTAAAATGATCTTTAAGAGCAAAGGAAAAGATAATATACCCAGCAGCTGCAGTTTTTGTGTAACTCTGATACATAAGGCTTAATGTCATAATCCTAGGAACCTAGGCTAAGATCCTAGTCCAAAACCACATTAAACTACAATTAGGACAACAACTATACTCAAAAGAAAACCATTCCAAGACTGCAAGACACACACATATATATTCATAGGAACAACTCAAGAATATTATCGACTACAGACGGTGTTGAAAACGTGATCTTGAGCTCGAATGGAGATTGATTTTCCAGAAAACTTGAAGCAAGTTGAAGTATAAAAAGGCTAAGCTTGAGTGTTTTTTATGAAAGGCAAGTGTGGAGCTTGCTGGAGGTTATAATGAGATTGAACAATAATTTCACAAAAGCATATTCCAAATTTTATGATAATTAGAATAATATAAGTTTGTTATTTGAGTTCACCACTTGACTATAAACCGGCTCTAAAGTGTTTCAACTTTCAAGACTCTTAGCTTCTTGTTTATCCTTGCATAATATTATATTATTACTTGAATTAACAACTTAATTTAAAAGCATTTAATCAATTAAAATAAAATATTCTTTTTAAATAGGCTTTATTTTAATTAAATTCCTTCTATAATACTCTTGATTAAGATCTCTATAACTTAATTATTTAAAATAGTTAATTATAACGATTAATAACTTTAAACAACTCATTTTTATTTTAATAAAATTCCAAAACTAAAATTAGTTTGTATTTAGCCTTAGATGTAAAGTATTATAGATAACATGAGAAAAATAATAATTGTAAGCTTACATTTAGTTTAATTAGTTATAAAAAAACTAATATGAATATTAAATATTAAATAATTAAATATTAAAACATTGATAATTTCATACATATTATCATATTATATTTTCTTACTAACAGAAAATAGTTACTTTAACATATAAAAAGGTATTTTCTAACCTTTTCAAATACTTATTTTTATTCTTGTATAATAAAATATTTTTTTTATCAATTCTAGAAAATATGGATTTACACACACCAATATATATAGAGAGAAGAGGGATTCACTTACTCCACTCAATAATACATATTTTACATCAAATTTTAATTATTTAACCATTGCTTTAAAAGTTTTTAATGTATAGATTAAGTTTATAAAATTTTAAAAATCATATGATATTTGGTTATATAAATTCAAATCAACATATAGTTATTCATTAATCTGAATTAATGAAAGGAATGATCAAATAATTTTAATTTTTTTTAGAATTTGTATACTTGATTTATACATTAAGAGGTTTATTTAACAATTAGATGTTTAAAATTTAATATAAAACATGAGTTATATAGTGGAGTAAGTTTACCAAAACTTATTCTTGAAATAGATCTCTCTTCATGTATGTGTATGTATGTGTCTGTGTGTGAGAGACAGAGAGAGAAAGAGAGAGAGGGAATGATCCATCTATTCCAAGAATAAGTTTACCTACACTTATTTCACTCAATAAATCATGTTTTATATCAAATTTTAACAATTAATTTTTAAATTAAAATTTTTAATATATATATTAAATCTGTAAAGTTTTAAAAAAATTAAAAATTATTTAATAATTCATTTCATTGATTCAAATTGATAAGTAATCATAAAAATATTTTAAACTTTGGGTTGAATTAATGAAACAAAATATCAAATAATTTTTAAACTTCTTAAAACTTTGTAAACTTATCTATGTATTAAGAATTTTTTAATTTAACGAATTAAATCATTGAATTTTGATATAGAACACGAGTTATTGAATGGAATAAGTTGACTTAGTCCACTCAACAATTCATGTTCTATATCGAATTTTAACAATCCAATCGTTAAATTAAAAAATTTGCAAAGTTAATTTATGTATTAAATACTTTCAATTTAATAGTTAAATCATTAAAATTTGACATAGAACATGAATTATTAAATAAAATTAGACATATTCTTGAAATAAATTAATCCTTTACGTACATATGTATATATAATTTAGTTTAAATCATGCAAGAATACTTTTCGAAATACTTGCAGGCATACAATCTCAAATATTTAAAAGTATTCCTAATCTAAGGGACATAGTATTTGACTGAAGGATGATTTCGTAGGGTCATAGGCATACAATCTCAAATATTTAAAAGTATTCCTAATCTAAGGGACATAGTACTTGACTGAAGGATGATTTCGTAGGGTCAAAACTAAAACTTAGGATGTTACATCTACTGTTGATCTTCTACTAACCAACAATCTTTTTAATCTATCTCTAAATCTTGGAAGGTAATTTAAAGAAGCACAGATACAGTGTTTCAATATGAAACCCCCCCTGTAGCTTGTAACCTTTTCAAGGATTTTGATCATAACAAAACAGCTACTGGACTTCAGAATAAGAGTTATGTGATCGTTGTAAATTGCTTATTGTAATAGATAGGGAGTGTATAGATTGACATCAACAAAGAACTAAGCATTTGATTTCATATTGTTTGAAACAGGTATTGTCTCCAGTAAGGGAGACACAAACTTCATATAAATGCACTCAAATTACATGCATACATACCAACGAAAGTAAGTTCCGTCAGTAAGTCCTCATTTGCTGCTTGCAACAAATGGATTGCAAATGAACAATAACTCAGCATTCTACATAAACAAGTTCTGTAGGAAGTACAACTAAAATAAAATTCAGCTAAAATAAAATTTCATCGTCCTCTATAACCAAAACTTCCTCTAACAAAGAATTTTAGTACAGGAACTATTTGTATTCAGTTACATTCTCTTGAAATTTGATGCGGAATCTTTTCCACATCACATCTGCAACAAAGTTATCGATGATACCCTCTTCCTCTTGAACTTCCACGACCAGCCCAGCCCTGGCCTCTGCCTCTGCCCCTACCCCTGCCCCTTGTACCCCCTCTTCCTCCAAGAGATAATCCTTCCAATGCTCTATTGACAAGTTGATTTTGAAAACTACCAGCACCTCGACCTTTCTTTGATGCAATATTGTTGGCCCCATTGGAAGCACTAGCAGGCCGTTTTGCTCTACAGAAGTTTAAACAAAATAGTAAGTTGATCAATTTCAATTATTTCAGTTGTCCCAAGTCCCAACTCCTGATCCAAATCAAATTTTGTACGAAAAACTGTCATTTTAGGCTAAAGATCATTAAAAGAGACAACGAAACAACTCTCGAGGGAAAAAAACGAGTTTTTTGATTGAAAAAGCTTCATAAAAGGTCCTTTTATGATGTAAATTTCTCTTGCAACTTTTTCAGATACGACTTTTTCTTGCATCTGGAATATGCACTAAGATGGTCTTTTAGGTTTTAGTTTTTCTTTCAAAAAAAAACAGTTGTCTTAACTATTACAAATTTTTTTAACACTTCTATTAGAAAGTACTTTCATTTCATAAAAAAAAAAAAAAAAAAAAAAAAAAAAAAAAAACCCAAACAAACAAGCTCTAAAATGATCTTTAAGAGCAAAGGAAAAGATAATATACCCAGCAGCTGGTGCAGTTTTTGTAACCTCTTTCCAAGAAAGATTGATTCTCTTATCTCCAATAAAAGAAGGCACCTTGGCGTGCAATGGCTGGCCACACAAACCAAATAATTAATAATTAAGAGAAAAATGGGGAGAAGACGATCAATTAAAAATCATGCAAGTAAAAGTCAATAACTCGTTTACTAAAAAGGTGGCATCCCTCTTACCTTTGTCATTGACAAAATGTTATTACAGGTCCGTAACCCAGTTGTAGCATTTTGCTTTTTAGTTTTCTACAAAATAATGTAAATATGTAAGCATGATATGTCATAATAAGCGAAAGACAAGAAAAAGAACCACCAAACAACAAGTACTCACAATCTTTTCCTTTTCTTCATCAGTTTTAGCACCTGCCATAGATTTGTTGTTTTCGTCCATTCCTTGAGTTAATTTCTTGATTGTGGCCCGGGTGAACTCCTCAACATTATTCAATCTGATAAAAGAAATTAAACAAAAATGTGAACAAAAAAAAAGACTTTAACCCTAGAGAGAGATAAATATAAAAGGGGAGAATGATAAAACAATGAAAAGTTTACTAGAAAATGGAATAGTTGCAACCAGTCAAATCAAGTACTTTCATCCTTTCCAAACTATTGTAAACTTACAACATGAAGAACAAGTATACTATATGTGACTACAAACTAAATTATATTATATTAAAAATACAAACCCAAGAATATGTGAATAATATACTAAATAAAATTGATCAAAAGAAAGATGATACCTCTCAGTAAAGTCATTATAATGCTCTGAAAAGTCCTCTCCAACTCTATCAGATGGCTGGCCAGTAACAATTTTGTATCCACATAAACTATTTGTTGCATTAGGAACCTACATCACCAAATTCAATTATGCACCGCACATAAGTGACTCACAACAGTATAATACTACCTCTGGTCCTGATTATAAGCAACAACCATTAGTTTTTAAAGTTACTTTAAGTTAAATTTCTTTTATACCCTCTTTATTGTTAACTCTATTTCCTATGCATTTACTTATAACTGACATTAAATATAACAACTACTTAAGGTAAAGGGGATATTTGGAATAAAACTTGAATATATGATAGAATAAATTAAAAGTAACCATATTAATTACTTTGCTTAGTCTTGATGATTTGTCTCATGTTGCTTATAATTAGGACCGTAGATAGTATTAACTTAGACAAGGTAAGGTAACCACCTTATGCGCCAAGTGATGAAAGGTATACAGCAAGCACTCTACATATGTAAAGTTCATCTCTTCTCCAGTCTTCTTCCAAGTCATGTATTTCTGAAAAAAGCACAGCATAATTAACATCAGACTTCTGTTAGTCAACAATGTGCTTGGGAATAACAGCATAATCAAAATAAACACAAAATTTTGATGTTGGCATAGCAGAAAACATACTGCTAGTGCTATATCCAGTTATCCACCACACTGAATGTGCCGATTCAACAAAAGGTTTACCTTCAGCAACTGAACAATAGAAGGAAGCATTTGGCGTGAATCTTGTAGACTTGTGTATGGTGAAAATTCTGCAAGGCTTCTGAGTAAATCTACTTTTCGTTCTCCAGGAAGCTGACAAGGAATAAAATAATTCAAATAAATAAGTTTCACACCTACCAAAACAAACTCAATTAAACCACAAGATTCCATTAAGCAAAAAACATTCACCAGCTAATACAAGATCTACAAAGTTAATCAATAAAGTCACCTGATATAAGATTCCTTTTTTTTTACATTTTATCTGAATAAATCAAACAGCTTAAAATTATATGGGTGACCAGCTATTTACTGAAGTTGGAATAAGATAATACACTAATTTCAAAGGAAATGTTTTATGAAGGGTGCCTGACAAATATAAAGGGCGAAAAAGTTGTCTAAATTAATATCTGGCAATTAAACAACCACTACCCATAGAATTGCTTCAAATAGTGGTACATATCACATCTATTTATCACACTATTTATTACAAATAAAATGTTTAGAATTAGATCAAAAGACTTGTGCAGGTATAAAGTGGCCCATTTCAAACTAAAGGTTGGCAGGTAAACGTATCTACATAGCATTTTAAACCATTAGACTATATGTGACTTCAATATTATTTTTAAGATACTAAAAAGAAGTATGCAGGATACTATGCGATGAAACAAAGTAAACCCACCCTCCTTATCAAAAATAAATAAAAACCTCTAGAAGGCTATAAATTGTATTCGATTATAGATTAACTTAAATTTGAAGTTTCCAGAATCCAAATAGTAAGACACTTAATACATTTGCAATTAATCATAAAGTACAGATGATCTATGGCTAAAACCAAAGCATATATTCCAGGTTCACAAAAATAGGAAAAATATTAAATGGGTTGAACAGAGAAAAAAAAAAAAAAACATGTTTATTTTTTCAAACCAAATGATTTGAAGTAATACCTGGTCAAAAACAGGTATTATATATTTGTTTATGTAGTTGAGAAATTTGTTGCTAGATGCACCCCTCTGCAAGAAAAAAAAATCAGTTGAAGAAAAAACTAACACACAAAACTATATGAGAAAAGGTAAACAGTACACAGAGTCCTTACCACAACAAATGGAAGTGCCATATGAAGGCATGATATCAACCTATCAATATGGTCAGCATCTGAAACCTACAAATTTCCATTTAAAAAACCATTACATGAGACCCGAAAATGAAGTATATATTATGTGCTTTAATTTCTGCCAGCAGTAAAGTCTAAAATCAAGAGACTATTTTACTATTACAAACAGATTTTATTCCCATATAAAATGAATGCATTTGTGTTCAACACTTCAACTGGACAAAAGAAGAAAAGATAGTAATAATCACATTGAACTGTGCATCTAAATCAGCTTGCCCTTCAATGATTCCAATAAGCTCTTTCATCCGCTCAGCTGGAGCCTTTTCTCCAAATAGACTCAAACTCTTCAGGAAATCCATAAACATTCGAAATTCTATCCCCGTTACATCTTCTAGACTCTGCAATTAAATTACCACACCATATATCAATGCTGCTTACATTGAAAAGCTTAGACATAATTGATTAACACATGAATTCATATAAATAGTGAGTCAAGGCAATTATGTATACCTTTTTTATGAGATCAGTTATGTGTCTTTCCATTTCCTCCTGGGGCTTCAACAATTCAGCTTTAATAGGGAAAACCTATAATGAAGATATTTAATCTTCAGCATTCACTTCCATTTTAAAGATGCAACAAAATAAAGGGCTCATTAATCAAACATTTGTCTGCTTACCTTATCTCTAACAAAGTTTATAACTTTCTCACGAATAGTATCATCCGTGCTTGGCTCTTCAACACTGCCAATGTGCTTAAACAAAGCCGTCAAAGAAGCTGCACAGACAACTAACTATAAGGACACAACCAAAATGCAGCCTTGATAATAAAATACAAATGTTAAGGATCTGAAAATCATATTGTGTGATAACTGTCAAAAGATTATGCATTAACTGGCAAAAAGTTTGTGTCACCACAACTTTCAAAGCAAATAGCCAAACTCTGCCATCAATTTGGCATGCAAAAGTTATATTGGACTTCCACAATTTAAGTTCTATTACCACCAAGGTGCAGGTGATCTTTATTGAAAGCAATAAAAAAAACACCACACATAATTTAAAATATAGCAAATTATTCAGAATACGTTAACATCAATATAGGATCTCAATCACAGTGAAGCCAATGTTTTCAAAGAAACGGTACTTCTCAATGCATATCGTATGCCCACTGAATAGTTACTAGATAAGACTAGAGTTAGAATGATTTGTATGGATGACAATGAGAATGTGAGAAATTCCATTTACGAGGCTCTGAACGGGTTTCAAAACACACCCTTAACCACCACAATATTCTGACGAGATATTCCCACTCAACGTAAAGATATATCAAAGTACCTTTCACATCCTGCCTCAGCAGAGACATAAGAGCCTTATGTACAGCATCCCGCTCCACAAACTCCTCTACAAGAATTAAAGGAAAAAAGAAAATATCAGAATCATAACCATGGCCAAGTTCCCAACAACGAAAAAACTCGAAAGACCCCAACTTACCAGACCCAAGAATTTGCACAAGAATATCAACCATTTTCCCAATATTGTCAGGTGCATCCTTACAGAAAAGAGGCAGTCCTCTAATTGCTTGAACCCGAACCTTGACACAAAAACAGCGGAAAAACCTCAGCAAATAGAGAATTGAGTGCAGCAATCACAAATTACACAAGGAGTGAAGCAAAACACATACTCCGAGCTCTTCAGCCTCAACCAAATCAAGATGCACATCGAGGGCAGCGCCAGAGAGGGCAGGAAAGAACTTGTAGAACTTGGGAATGAACTGTGCAGCGAGCTGCTTGGCCTTCACACTGGTCTTGGCGGTTTCAATGATTCCCTTGTAATCGCTGACATTCTGGCAAAACCACAATAATCAAAAACCCTAATTGGAAGGCAGAGCATAGGAATGAAAAACCCTAAAGCGAGAATTTCGAACCTTGGACTTGTCCTTGGCACTGTTGAGCTGCTCACCGTATTCATACAGTTTCTCGATGTAGGCGGACTCAAGGGAATGGTCGGCCATTGTAAAGCCCTGCAATTGCGATGGCGTTCGTGATTGGAACTCGAATTGGAATTGAAAAAGTGAAAGGAAAAGAGGGTTTTGTGGAGGGAATAACGAACCTGAAAAAATGAAGAGAGTATTGAGTGAGTGGAACAAGGTGGTGGAGGTGTTCACTGTTCTGGATGGGACGAGTTACCCTTCCCTTCTTAACGCACAACACAACACAGACACAATGCAGTTTACACTCTACACTCAACACTCAACACTACCCTCTCCTTTCCTCTTATTTCTCTCAATTTTTTCATTTTTCATATAATACAAACCTAATAAAACTACCATCTTTTAAATACAACTTCTCTATAAAATAAACAACAGTTTTTTATAATAATTTTTTTTAATAAATAATAGTTTATTATATATATTGTTTTGATATTTAAATACTATTTATTAAATAGTAGATTGTTTGTTTTGGAAAAATATTGTTAGGACTCAAGTTCATGTGGAGAATATTTAAATGTGGAATTGCACGACCATACAATGGTCAACCATTTTGAAGAGGTTGCATACATTTTGATAAGATAAAATAAAACACTAAATAAGTCAAAGGAAAAAAAATTTAATAATTTTTATAGATATTATATGATGTTGTTGGCTGGAAGTTCCAACATAATAAAGACATTTTCTTACTTTTGTTAAATAAATTGAACATTCAATGAATTAAATAATAAAAAAGAGGAAGTAAGAAAAAAATAAATATATGTTAAAATTATTATAATAGATAATTAAAAAATTACCATAAAATGTTGTATTTTAATGTAATTTCAAGTAAATTAGTTATACAGTAAATTTTAAGAGTAAATTTTTCTACTAACTCTCATAAATAAATAAAAACATTCTTATATATGAGTTAAGTCTAAATTTTTGTGTTTACTTTCTTGAAAAAAATATTCATCCTTATTTGTAATTTTTACTCACACATTAATTATTAAGGAAACACTTATTATGATCTCTAAATTTGTAACATGCTATCATATTGGTTCTTAATACTACAAAATTGTAAAAAAAAATAAATCTTTTGAATGTGACTTTTTATTATAATATTACAAAATAAAAATAAATTTATCAAAATATCATCTTTTGAAATATATTTATCAAAGTGTTATGTTTATTATTAATGTTGGAAAATTGGTTTCCCACCAACCAATTTCTTGCATAAATTTTTCATTTTTTTTTAACTTCTGCATTGAGAAATATTGGTTATTTAGTAACCGATTTTTTAACTATAAATTTTTTTTATAATTTTATTTTTTTGTAATATTATTATTTTATATTTAAATATATTTTTAGTTTGTACCAAAAAAATTATATATATTTTTAGTTCCTCAAATTTTTTTTAAAAAATAGTCTCTCAAATTTAAAGAATTTTTTTTAGTCCCTCAAATTTAAAATTGGTCTTTATAGTCCTATAATCTATAAAAAAATCTTATTTTAGTCTTTATACTCAATCTGCATAATTTTCATTTTCAAATATATTATTGGTAACTTAAGAGATCAAACCAAGATTTTTTAAATTTACAATGACTAAAAATAACAATTTTAAATTTAAGAAACTAAAAATAAATTTACCCTAAATTTAAGGGACTAGAAATCTATTTAAGTTTTATTTATAAATTAGTTAAAATTACTTAATATATAAATAAAATATTTATTTTATATTTTAACAATATATTTGTCTCTATTATAAATGTGGTATTTTTTTGAATAATAATTATAAATTTTGTAATATGTATGTTTTATAATTTATTAGAAGAAAATAAAAAGTCATAAATCATAAATATTATTTATATATTATAGTGAGTAAAATTAAGATTTCAAACAACATATGAAATTTTAAAATTGATTTTAAATCAAAATAACATGAAAAATAAAATGAAAGGTATATAACGATGAAATTTTTTTATAGATATTATATAATGTTGTTGGCTGGAAGTTCCAACATAATAAAGACATTTTCTCTTGTTATGACCTAGATTCCTACACATGGAACATTTTTTTCGGTCGATTAAGTTCTCTCTATCCATTTATGTGCATATATAGAAGGATTTTGGATGACTTTTTTTTTTTTAATTTCTTTTCATGTTCAGATTGGGGTAGATTTTTAATTCATTACATTATGGTTGATATTGTTCATTGTGCAACTCTCTAACAATCCTTTGTGCACATTGAAGATGTGTATTTCAATGTGTAAACAAAATGTATGTAAGATATGTAATCATGATAAACAAGTTTACAACCAGCAATGACATGTGAGCAAGGTACATGCATTTTTGGAATTTGTAATAATCGCATTACATTCATTCAATCTAACTATAAATTGTCTAATTGGTCGTCTCTCTCTCAAGTTAAGTGTCTCTTGCACATACTAGGTAATACATATCACATTAGTTGAATTCAAACACATGTTGCACTAGTAAACATAGACACCATTAGTTGTTACTTATAAATTTGATTTCAAAGTATATGTGAAAATTATATCTATTTTTTTATTGACTTATGTGTGATATGTGTTATAAATTTGATTTCAAAGTATGCATGAAAGTTATTTATCTATATTTTTCTGGCAATGTGATTGATCTTTTAAAATCATTCTTTTGATACTATATGTGTACTTTTCAATTTTTATTGTATAATAAAATTATGCATCTTTAAATTATTTATAATCTTTTTTACAAAAATTTTAAGTTATAAAATAAAAGATTATGAATTTATTTATATATTAACTAATTTTTAAGCTAATTAGTTAAATATATTTATATATTATTAAAAAAAATTGTAAAAAAAATTGCAATTGAGAAATTAATTATTGGTTAATCAATTTCTTAATAAAAAAATAATTAAAATCTTAGGTGAGAAATTAGTTGACGGGACCAATTTCTCAACATAAGTAGTAAATGTAACACTTTAATAAATATATTTCAAAGTATAATATTTTGGTAAATTTAATAATTTATTATAAAAATATAATAAAAAGTCTTAGAATGTCAAATAAATCATTAAATTTAGCTATTTACTATCATTTTGAATCTTTTGTATTGGTAGAGCTTCTCGATGTATGCAGCCTCTTGAGAAGGGTCAGTGATTGCAAGGTCCTGCAATTGTGATTGCAACTTCAATTAGAAGTGCAGAATGAAACAAATAGTTACGATACATACAAAAAGAGGAAAAGGAAAAAAGAAAAAAGGGTTTTGCATATTGAAAGGGGGTTAAGAGGGTGTTGAGTCGAATGAGTTGGGAATGACTGAGACCAAAATCCCTTATCTGTAACTCCTAACGGGAATCATGTTCTTTTTTAAATAAAAAATCGTAATTGCAGTTTTTTTTTTATACCGTATTTTTAAAGTTACATCGTTGATTAAATTGAGTAAGACACTTGTTCTACAATTAAACATAATCGAATCCATACTAATAAAATAATTATTATTATTTTAAATAATATAAAGTAATATTAAAAATTGTTGGTCAATATATTTGAAACGTAACGTCAGTTTTAAAAGTTATTGTGGATTTTATTTTATTTTATTACGGGTTGTTATGATTATTAATTAATGTCTAGTATTGAAAAATTCTAGAATTTAGGAATTTTTTTTAATGAATTTTTCGATAATTGAAGATTTTTTTGAATAGATACCTAATTTAATCTTGAGAGGAGACAATACATAAAGTTTCTATTTAAGTTCAATTCTTCAAAAAACTTAAAGATATACTAGAGTGAGAAATTTCGAAACTCTAATCCTTTTCTTCTACTTTCTAGACCTCGCAAGTGCATAAGGATTGTCATTGGTCGTTGATTTGAAACACATGGTTGAAAATTAGAGTTTCAAGAAGTCATACGGAGTGGGGTCGTCTTTCTTCTTCCTTTTCTTCCTCTTTTGCTTGGAGTTGAGGTAAGAAAAGCTAGAACTAGAATATTGATTGAATTGGTTGTTGTATGTTGTTGAATTACATCAAAATTGTTACGTGTTGTTGAATTGAAGAATTTGATTCTTGCATGTGGGATATTTTGGATCTCTTAAACATGTGGGAAGATTTAGATGATTATTGGTTAAATCTTAGTTGCATGTTGTTTTTGTTAGAAATGTGTTGGGAATGTTGAGTATATACAAAATCTTGTGTTACATGTTGTGGATTTTCCTGAATTTCAAGTGTGATGAGCCAATTTGAGTATTTCCATTGTGTAGAACTTGTCGATGTGCCAAGCGTGCCTTCATGGCGTTGAAAACAATTTGTTCAAGGGCACTTTGTCTTGTTCCCACCAAGCATAAGATTGATGGCGTCAGGCGTGAAGAAAGAGAATTGTCTCGAGTTGAACTAACGTCAAGCATGGGTTGAATGACATCGGGTGTGAGGTGAGAGAATTGATTATGCATGGATTAACATTGACTGTGAGGAGAGAGAATCATTCCAAGTTAGATTGATGCTGAGCATGAGACTTTGCCACGCCAAATGTGAGGGTCCAAGGGGACTCTACCTAATCCATGTTGAGCGTGGGTTGTGTGACATCAAGCATGGATAAGGCAGAGAGCTCCTTATCTCAATGGCGTCAGACGTAGGGTGGATAACGTCAAACACAAGTTTTCTTGTTTTAACTTATTTATGATGAAACTAGTGAATGTGTTGTATGATGTTTAAGTTGTACTATAAGTGGTATCTTGATGTGTGATCTTGAATCTCTATAATTGATCTAGGATAGTGTATCTTTGATTTTGTTGAACTAAGTTGCATGTTGTTTAGTTGAATGATTGAAAGTTGAGTTGAGTTATATGATGTTGTTGAGTAGTTGTGTTGGGAATGTTTTAACATTAAAGTTGTACTATGTTGAGTTGTATAATGTTGTTGAGTAGTTGTGTTGAGAATGTTTTGACATTAAAGCTTCTCTAGGAGACTCTACAATATTCTCATTATATATGAGTCTTAGTTAGGCATGTCAACGGGACACGACAGGTATGGATAGTTCCCTCCACTACCCGTCCCGTCGGATAAATATCTATCTCCCATTCATTCTCCTATTTGTACGAGTATCCATTAAGTATCCATTAAGTGAGTACTTGCATATTTTTTAATATCTATAAATATCCATGGATATTTATTAAAAAGAATTCAAAATATTTTAATAATAATTTTTATTTATTGTAATTATTTCTTTAAAAATAAAAAGTCAAAACTTAAGTTATTCAAATATTATTTATAATTTTATTAATCAAGATTCTTTAATTTAAAAAT